ATGGCGATTCTGACCATCCTCCTTTCCCTATTTCTCTTGTCTCCTCGCCTCACCCTCGCAGACGATGAAGCCGCGAGGTTAAAAGCGATCCAGGAACGACTGTTGGCCTTCGCCTCGACCAACACCTCCTCCTCCAGCGCCGCGCCCGCCCTCGAAGCTCTGCGAGGCCTCTTCTTCACCGAGCAGGGCAGGGAGGTCGGTCTGCTGGCCCTCGAGGGGCTCGTCCTCGGCGCCAAGAGGCCCGACGCGGCCGCCATCTTGAGTGGCTTCCTGCGCGAGCTCCAGCTCCGGGTGTCTCCGGCGCTCCTCGAGTCCCTGGGCCGCCTCAAGGAGGAGGTTCTCGAGGCGGAGTCCCTGGACCACGCCCTCCAGGCGCTCGATCTCGACCTCGAGTCCCTGGGCCGCCTCAAGGAGCAGGTTCTCGAGGCGGAGTCCCTGGACCTCGCCCTCCGAGCGCTCGGCCTCGACCTCGACCTTGAGGGCTTGCTGAGGACGAGCCAGGAGGCCCTCGCTGGCTGGGACTTGACCTCGGCGCTCGAGGCTGTGCTCCGATACACCTCCCCTCCGCCTTCTTCTTCTTCGGCTCCTCCTCCGAAGCAGGACAGGTTGGCCCGCCTCCTTCGACCTCTCCTGACCTCGCTTCTGAAGGAGTACAACGTCGACCTCGAACCCGACGCGGTCTTGGAGGTCATGGCGCCCTTCATGAAGGCCGAGACGGTGACCCAGCTTGTCCCCTTGCTTGCCATGGCGACTCGGGGCGCCTCAGGTCAGGGGGCGGGGCAAAGAGGTCAAGGGCGGGGCTGAGAGGAGAGGGGGCGGGGCTAGGGGAGTTGTTAGGGAGTGTCTTAGGAGGGCAGGGGGCGGGGCAAAGGAGAGGGGGCGGTGCTAGGGAGGTGTTGGGGAGTGTCTTAGGAGGGCAGGGGGCGGGGCTAGGGGAGGTGTTGGGGAGCGTCCTAGGAGGGCAGGGGCGGGCCAGAGAGAGGGGGCGGGGCTAGGGCAGTTAGGGGCGTGTTGGGAGGTCTGGGCGCCCTGATGGGCGGGGGCGGGGGCGGGCGATGGCGTGAACAACATGCTTAAACTAGCGTCGATGTTCGCGGGCGGGAAGAGAAGAAGAGGAAGGAGAGAGAGGGAGAGAAGAGGAGACGGAAGCGAAGCAGAAGAAAGGGGAGAGAATAAGAAGAGAGGAGAAGAAGAGAAGAGAAGAAGAGAGGAGAGAGGAGCAGAAGAAGAAGAGAGGGAGAGAGGAGGAGGAGAAACGGGACTCGACCTCGCGGCGGTGGCCTCTCTCGCGGGCCGAATGGCGGCGGAAAATGGCCTCGAGTTGGAGGATCTTCTGGACTTCTCCTCCAGGCTTCTTGGAGACCGAGGAGGGAGGAGGAAGGAAGGAGGAAAGAGAGGAAGAGAGGAAGGAAGGAGGAGGGAGGAAGGAAGGGGGGTAGGAGGAGGGAGGAAGGAAGAGGGTAGCAGGAGGTAGGAGGAGGGAGGAAGGAAGGGGGGTAGCAGGAGGGAGGAAGGAAGGGGGGTAGAGGAGAGAGGAAGGAAGGGGGGAGGAGGAGGAAGAAGGGGGTAGGAGGAGGAGGAAGGGGGGGTAGAGGAGAGAGGAAGGAAGGAGAGGAATAAAGAAGGAAGAGAGGAGAAAGTGGAAGCAGAAACAGTTGAGAAAGAGGGAATTAAGGAAGGAGCGAAGAAGGAAGACGAAGGAGAGAAGAAGGAAGAGGAAGGAAGAGGAGGGAAAGGCCGATAAGGAAGCGCCAGGACCTTCCTTGGTGCAGCTCCTCCAGCCCGTCCTGTCGTCCTTGAGGAGTGGGCGTGGCTGTGGGCGGCGCCTCGTGGCCCTGGTGGGCGGGGGGCGTGGCCTCGTGTCCAAGAAGCTCAAGGACCTCGGGGATTTCAGTCAAGTCCTGACGTGGGTCGAGTCCTTGGCCGCCGCTGCAGGAGGTCAAGAAGGTCGAGGAGGAGGTCAAGAAGGTCAAGGAGCAGCAGGAGGGTTGGGTCTCCCCGAGGGCGTGGACCTCCAGAGCATCTCCTCGACCTTGAGGCAGCTGGCCCTCCACGCCCGAGACCTCGACGCCAGCCTCTTCGAGGACGTCCTCCAGAGCCTCGAGGAGAACCCCGCCCTCGCCGACGCCCTCGCCTCCTCCCTCGCCCCGCCCACCACCTCCCTCCTCCTCCTCCTGGCCACGCCCGCCGCCCAGCAGTCCCTCCAGGAGCAGCTCGGCCTCAGGCTCTCCTCCTTCGCCGCCTCCTTCGGGATGGCGGGCCTCACCCTCGAGAACTTCCCCGAGCGGCTGGCGCCCTGGGTAGGCCTCTTCGCCTCCGACTGGGGCTTTAGGCCTATGGTGGTCCTCGGGCCTCTCCGGGACTTCCTCAAGGGCGTGCTGGCGTGGGCGGGGGCGGCTCTGGCGGAGGGGCGTGGCCTAGGGGAAACGGAAGTAAGTATTATTTTTTTTTTTTATTCATTTTTTTTTTACGTTTATTTTTTATTATTATTTTACGTTTATTTTATTTATTTTATTTTATTTTTATTTTTTTATTTTACGTTTATTTAATTTATTTATTTTTATTTTTTTAATTGTTATTGTTATTTTACGTTTATTTTATTTATTTTTTTATTGTTTTTGTTATTTTACGTTTATTTTTTTTCATTTTTTTATTGTTATTATTTTACGTTTATTTATTTTATTTATTTATTATCATTATTATTATTTTATTATTTTTTCTCTTATTTATTTTCTTTTTTAAGTGAGTTTCTTGCTTGAGTTAATGATTAATCTTTAATATGTTAATATTTACTCTAGTTAGATTTAATCTTTAATATATTTACTTTAATTACCTTTAATCGTTTACTCTAATTAATTTAATCTTATATATTTACTCTATTATTTAATCTTTAATATAATTTACTTTAATTAATTTAATCTTTAATATATTTACTCTAATTAATTTAATCTTTAATATATTACTCTAATTAATTTATATTTACTCTTTAATATATTTACTCTAATTTTAATCTTTAATATATTTACTGTAATTAATTTAATCTTTAATATATTTACTCTAATTAATTTAATCTTTAATATATTTACTCTAATTAATTTAATCTTTAATATATTTACTCTAATTAATTTAATCTTTAATATATTTACTCTAATTAATTTAATCTTTAATATATTTATTTTATTTTATTTGATTTTTGATGTATATATTTTAGATTTATATTTATCTAGTATTTAATTAAATTTAATATTTATTTTAATATCTAATTAATATTTGATTCTTCCTATAATTGATATTTGAATAATAATAAATTTAATCTGCAATATTAAATTATTATCGTTTATTTTCCATTTATTAATAATTTCCCTTAAATTACTAATTACATTAATAATCACTTAATAATTAATAATTACTTAGTAATTAATAGTTACTTAATGATTAATAATTACTTAATGATTAATAATTACTTAATAATCAATAATATTACTTGATGATTAATAATTAACTTGATAATTGATAATTACTTGATAATTAATAATTACTGAATAATCGATTAATTACTTAATAATAATTACTTAATAATTAATAATTACTTAATGATTAATAATTACTATTAATTAATAATTACTCAATAATTAATAATTACTAATTAATTAATTTAAATTGATTTTTTTAGCTCCGTCACGTGGTACACCGCGCCCTGCGTGATGACGTCATCAACACGCTCCTTGACGTCAGGCAGGCTATGACGTCACCAAAGTGTTTCTCTCGGCGGTTGTGCGAGGTCAGTCGAGGTCAGGACGTGACCTCACTCAAGAGGGCGGTGGTCAGGGTCGCTGGGTGAGTGTCCTGTGTGTTTTGTTTGTTTGTCTCTCCCTCTCTCTCTCTCTTTTCTTTCTTTTCTTTCTCATTTTTTTTCTTTTCTTTCTTTCTTTCTCTCTTCTCTCTTTCTCTCTTTTCTCTCTTCTTTCTCTTTCTCTCTTTCTCTCTCTTTCTCTCTTTCTCTCTTTCTCCTTTCTCTCTTTCTTCTTTCTCCCTTCTCTCTTCCTCTCTTTCTCTTTCTCTTTCTCTCTCTCTCTCTCATCTCTCTCTCTCTCTCTCTCTCTCTCTCTTCTCTCCTCTCTCTCTCTCTCTCCTCTCTCCCTCCCTCTCCCTCTCTCTCTCTCTCCTCTTCTCTCTCTCTCTCTTCTCTCTTCTCCCTCCCTCTCTCTCCCTCCCTCTCTCCTCCCCTCTCTCTCTCTCTCTCTCCTCTCCCTCTCTCTCCTCTCTCTCTCTCTCTCTCTCTCTCTCTTCTCTCTCTCATCTCTCTCTCGCTCTCTCCTCTCTCCTCTCTCTCTCTCTCTCTCCTCCCTCTCTCTCTTCCCTCCTCTCTCTCTCCCTCCCTCTCTCTCCCTCCTCCTCCTCTTCTCCCTCCCTCTTCTCTCTCCCTCCTCTCTCTCTCTCCCCTCCTCCCTCTCTCTCTCTCCCCTCCCTCCCTCCCTCTCCCTCTCTCTCTCTCTCTCTCTCTCTCTCTCTTCTCCTCTCTCTCTCTCTCTCTCTCTCTCTCTTCTCTCTCCTCTCTCTCTCTCTCTCTCTCTCTCTCTTCTCTCTCCTCTCTCTCCTCTCTCTCTCTTCTCTCCTCTACTCTCTCTCTCTCCTCTCTCTCTCTCTCTCTCTCTCTCTCTCTCTCTCTCTCTCTCTCTCTCTCTCTCTCTCTCTCTTCTCTCCTCTCTTCTCTCTCCTCTCTCCCTCTCTCCCTCTCTCCCTCTCTCCCTCTCTCTCCCCTCTTCCCTCTCTCCCTCTCCCTCTCTCCCTCTCCCTCTCTTCCCCTCTCCATCGCCTCTTTGAATGTAAAAATAAAATGATAAAAATGATTTTTAAAATCTTCTTTCTCTAAATTTATGTCCGTATTCCCGCTTCTGCAGCGTACCATAGGCACGCAATGGACGGCGTCCCACAGGATAGATTTTGCGACTTTGGACGAGGTTTTCCGGGCCCTCGAGGGGAGATGACTGTCAGGTAAG